CCCCGCCCCGCACCCACTCAGGGATTACAATCACCCCCGCGCCCGACGCCGGCAACGCCAACGCCGAGCTCACCAGGGTCTCGTCCTCCGGTGCAGCCCACATCACAGGTGAGGTGCCCCCTGCGTCCCCACCACCTCCCTGCTTTCCTTTTGGGGCTCCCCCTCTTTCCCCTTTCAGGCTCCCCCTGTTCCCCTTTTTCCAAGCCCCCCCCCCCAGGCTTCCCCTATTCCCCTGTCTCCACCACCCTACAACCCACCCCCAAACTCCCCTGTTCCTACAACCCTGCTATCCCCCCCTCCAGGCTCCCCCTATTCCCCTGCTCTAGGACTCCCCTCCTAGCATCCCACTGCCCTTGCCCCCAGGCTGACCAGCACCCTTGGTCCTGGTTTAAAGAGCTCCCTGCATCTCTTCTCCCTCTCCCCCTCCCCCACTGTTAAAAGGCCTTATGCAGGTCCCCCAGGGCTTGCAAAGGAAACGCTTACACAGCACATTGCAAGCAGAGCGCTGGCGATGTCAACAGACCTGCCCCAGCTGCAAACCTCGGTGGCGGGGGAGGAGACGGTTTCTGGCCGTGCCCCTCCACCCATATGTTCATACCTGGGTCGGGGGGGTGGCTCTAAGGCATCCAGATTGTGTTCTCCAATTACTAACCCCCCTCTGGGCTTGATCCCCAGATTTCTTTGTGAAGCGGAAAAGGCCGGCTGACTCCAAAGCAGCCTGCGAGCATCCCAGCGGCTGCCCGGCTTCGGTCTCGGACGTGCCCACTGAACAGACCCCGCGCAAGCGGCGGCGATGAAGCAGGTGAGTGAAGCTATTCCCTTGCCCAGCCAGCATTGCTTCTCCCAGCTTGGGAGGCATCTGCCTCTTTCTGCTTGGCGAGGGCTTTTCCTCCACCCCATAAACACTCAGATCCCAGGGAAATGAGGGCTAGAAGGGCCCCCACCAGGTCACCTAGTCTGGTCCCCTTTGCTTCAGGCAGCATCAGCCCTGCCTAACTAATCCCAAGCAAGTGCATGTCCCCCACCTGCTCTCGAAAACTTCCACGGATGGAAATTTCACAGCTTCTTCAAGCAGCTTGTTCCAGGACGGGGCCTCCCTCCTTGTCAGAAAACCCCTCCCAGTTTCCAAGCTGAATTTCCCCTGCTACAGCTTGAGGCAGTTGGCTCCTTAGATCTGTCCCCTCTGGCCATAGAGAAAAGTCCCATCTCCATTCTTTTGAACAGCCTGGGATGCCCCTACTACATGCTCCCCTTCCTTGGTATGGATGGGGGGAGGGAGGAGATGACTGCACGCAGTGAAAATGTGTGTGCACAAAA